TAGAAACTTCAGGATAGTTAGGAGTGAACACAGTAAAGAGGATAAGGTCGGCATGCTTGCGTGGTCACAGGGAAAAAGCTCCCATCAGCGAGATTTTCAACTACCCTGTATTGCCATGTATCAAACTCGATGGTCTCCATTTAACAGGCACTGTAAAACCTCAGCGAGGTTATCAAATGATGAACATCAACTATCGAACATCAATTGTTTGGGACTGACCAACTATGTGAAGACTTTTTATCCAGAAAGTACTGACTGAAATGTATTAAAAACATGAAGCTGAGAAAAGCCTACGTTAATATCACTTAAACGCCACCACCATAAGAAATATATGATAAAGAGATGAAGAACGTTACAATGTGGAGTGTGTCCATCTGACATTAAGCTGGTAAGCTGTTTACAGCACTTCTGAGAGAGAATCAGTGTCCTCAATCCTGTTTTCTATTGTATTCAGGTCAGCGTTTTTTATAACAATCTCTTCCACGGCATTAGACCCAAGAGGATCACCAGGGAAGATGGTGATGGGATTTATAGTAGTATAGTAGTAGCACCAGACGTAAGAAAATCCCCAGGAAAAAGGAAAGGGTAGATTACAGAGCAGTAGTACCATACCTAAGAGAAGTACCAGGAAGGAGGATGAATTTGGGATCACCAGAACATAAACAGTACTAGAGGCTGACCACCACTTGATTTAGTATAAAAAACGGCAGAGATAGTGAAGTGTGGAAAACACGATCCATAGACTTAAGACCAGAACCTTGACAACTGTGACTACCAGCCACAAGGTGGAAGTGAATTTGTTAGGATAATTAATTAAGTGAAAAGACGTCTGAACACTTAGGTTTTGTGCGGGTTTAGTAATTTTGTTTACTTAATTATGGAGAAAGATTAAACTTAGCGCACTAATTATTATAATAATAATGGTGGAGCGCTAAACCCGTAGGATTATACAGCGCATGTGGGGGGGGGGATGGAAGGTATTCAGACTCAATTCAAGGAAATGGAGCACAGATCCAATTCTCTAGATAAAGAGCCCCTCACCAGGGTCCAGGAACCACCCTTGAGGGGTTAGCGCACCAAGAAGAGTGGGAAGGAGCGCAGAGTCACCAGACTTGAGATAACATGTATCACAATATACACACTTCCATATCACAATCATAATAAATAAAAATTAGATACAAATTCTTTCAAATAAATAAAAATGGGAAAAGGTTTAGATGAGAAGTGTACATTAAAAACGGGTCCTACTACAGTGGATGTATTTTGTAATGTGTAATGTATTTGTATTTGAATTGTATTTTGTATGTGTTGTTGAAGACAGTGTGTGTTAGTGTTGCTATGTACAACTAACACGTAGCAACACTCACTGGCAGACCTGGTCTGGGATCCAGCCGCGGGGGCGTTGACCCCGGAAAGAGTTTCCAGGTAAATATTGCACAGCATCCTTATAACTACTGTACATGGCGCCTGAGATATACTCCGCTACACACAGTATTACCCTTGATCCATGGAACCCTTCCCCTTCCTTGGATCATACTTGATTGCCTTCCATGATCCAGTGTATGTATGAACCGGTGATGTACCTGTGATATACCTTCGATACTCCAGTGACATACCTTGGAGATACCTGTGATAGTTTCCAGAGTCTTTCTGCCAGACTGTTTTCATTAGTTTCACTTGAATTTAATTTACTTCTCTCTCACACACGCACACACATACACACACACACACACGCACACACATACACTAGACTAGCCTCCCGTTCTTGGGATCAAACATGATCACGTTCCATTCGATGTATTACCCTCGAGAGTTTAGTGCCCCCTCCCTCAATGAATAACAAAGAACAACAATAGTAACGAGGTGTGAACACATACAATAAGTACAACATGAGTGCAAAATACAATGTCTATCATTATACAGTTGTACAACCCGTAAGGGTTTATCGTACATTAGTAATTTCTTTATATAAAACAATTACTAATGTACAACGTGTCTGAAAAAACAATATCTGAGAATGATGCGTAACTTAGAGGGTTTAAAACAAGATGGTGTGAGTGACATGTTAGGGGAGTGCGAGTGCTTACCTCGTTTTTCCACTCGTACATGGGAAGCTGCCAGGGAGGGAAGAGAGAAGATGAGTCAGCAGGAGTTGACAGAATCCAGCACCAGCCTCATAATGTAACATAAGAGCCCACTACACCACCTGCACCCACTTACCTGCCTCATGGAGTCACCCACAGCCACCACCATTAGTTTTTATTTATATTGTACATCGTCCACATCTGACAATTCGTCAACCTTAAAATGGGTTATTAGTACACAGCAGTATTTCAGTCTAGGGAACAAGTTCCTTAAAAGTGTGTCACCACAGGCTTGGTATCTCTTGTTTATATTTATATTATCCAGACTGCCATTTTTCCTTGTAGTTTTCGTAGTTAGACTATAAGGTTCCTTCTAACTAAAATCCTCCGACACAGTTACCCCTGGGTCCCTAAGA